GCGGTGATGCCCCAGTGGCAGCGGCGGGAGCTGCAGGCCACGCTGAAGGTGCTGCAGCGACGTGCCAACACTGCCATCCGGAAGCTAGAAACGGGGCAGGTGAGAGGAGGTTCGGCTGTACCCATGGGGGCAGGTACCCAGCACACTTGGCGAGGGGCAGAGGCACTCCAGCATGCACACGGAGAAGCTTCGCGACCTGGCACGGGGCCTGACGCAGGGGGTGGGGTGCAGCTCCTGTCTCTCCTGCCAGCTGGGTGCCATCACCAGGCCATTTCCCCCACTTCTTTCTCTGCCAAACCGTGTCTGTCCTTCAACTCCCAAGTCTGGCTCAGACTCGCCCTCTAGGAAGCTGACTGACTTGATTACGCCTTTCAGCCCCCAGTGCCACTTGACCGTGGATCTGCCTTCCTCCCACCCCCTTTCATCCATCTGTGCTCCAGCCTTAGTCCTTCACCTTCAGTGGCCTATTTGTAGGGGCCTGGAGCTGTGGTGAAAGGGACGAGGTGAGGGACGAGAGGAAGGACACAGGCCATTTGAGGCAGAGCCCCTGGCACCTCTCCTCCAAGCCAAAGACCTTTGCTGGCGGAGGGGATTTCTGGACGGGGGCTCGGTTCGGAAGTGGGGCCCGGCTGCCTTCCACCCTGATCCCTGTGCCGTCCTTCCTGCCCTGCAGGCTGCACAGAAAACCCAGGAGCTGCTGCGGCGGCATTCAGAGGGGCCCCTGATTGTGGACACAGTCTCCACTGAGTCCCTCTCCGTGAGTGTGGGGGCTGGGGGTGGCCCCAGGGTCTGGGGAGGGGAAGGTCCTGGCTGGGAGGTAGCTGGGAGTCCAGAGAGCTGTGGGCTCACTGTCTCCCCTTCCCTGCCCAGGTGCTGGTGAAGGTGGTACGGCAGCTGTGTGAGCGGGCGCCTCGCACGTCTGTGCTACTGCTCAGCCCCCAGCCGCTGGGGCACGTGTTGTGTGCCTGTCAGGTGGCCCAGGTGAGGGAAGGAGGAGAGCAGCCCCACCCACCCATCCTGGTCCAGCTCTCCAGTTGCATACCTTTGATTCCTCCAAGGCTGGGTAGAGGTGATCTAGGAGGACACCCCAGGATGGGGACAGGGCCGTCTCCTCCCTAACCACAGCCCCCCACCAGAGAAGGCACCGTGGTGGTCCCTAATTATGACCATCCAGGCCACACATCCCTTGCAAACAAGTAGCAGACATTCAGTAACCTCCACACACTTTCCCAGCCCCATGCTCTCCTGTCTCCTGACTAATCACTGTGATGCCACTCTCAAAGGGTAGATGGAGTGAGCACTGGTGGGGAGGGCTGCTCTGCATCACTGCCCGTTCTCTCTTGGTTCCCAGGGTACCACACCAGCCTTCACAGCAGAGGCCTGGGCACTGGCAGTATGCAGCCACATGGGGGGCAAGGCCTGGGGCTCTCAAGTGGTGGCTCAGGGCACCGGAACGACGGCTGACCTGGAAGCTGCCCTCAGGACAGCCCGAGCCTACGCCCTCAACCAGCTCTGAGCTGGGCTCGCCAGGGACTCACATAGACTGGACAGACTGCCGACGGGCCAGTGCCAGGAACCCTTGAAGGAGCCAGCAGAACCTCCCCGGAGGCTGAAGCAAAGGACTAAAGACTGGAGGCCAAGCAGCTGAGCCCTAGGGGGCTGCCTTGGGCCAGGCCCCGTGAGGACACGAGGAGTTGGGGTTCTGGAAGGCAGAAGTGGGCCCAGAGACACACCCCCACTGGATGAATGTGAAGCCATGGACTGTCTTGGCTGTGAGTGCTCATCAACAAGTATTTCACTGCAGCCAGGAAGTTCCAGAAGTTCTTCTGCTTAAAAAAGAACAGCTTTCCCCTCCCAGCAACCTGGTAAGGGTGCTCTATCACCCGGCTGATCCCTCACACTGGATCGAACAGTCACCCATCATCCAAATCAGAACCATCCTCCTCGCCACGGGTGTTTAACAGGTTTTCCGTGCCAGCCTGGGCACCCACAAAGGCCTCGCTGGCCACCAAGATCCAGAACTGTCTTATGAAAGTCATTACAGCAGGGCACACCCTCTCTGGTGTCACTTGTGTCATTAACAGTGACTTCACATTTTAGCGAAGGCCCTGGTGATTTGTTGAGAAAATGCGCAGCAGGCCCTGGTCGGCTGCTGAGAATGTGGTGAGAGCGAAAGGGACAACTTCCTGCACTTGCGGAGCTTCTGTCTAGTAGCGAGATATGCGATAAAGAGAAGGAAGAGGATGTAAGGCAGTGATGAGGTCTGCAGAGAAAGAGGGACAGGGATCAGGAGGGTGGGGGTGACTGCTGTTTCCCCCGGAGGTGGCATCTGAGGGGAGGGTATGAGCCACGAGGGTCTCTGAGGGAAGAGCGCTCCAGGCTGAGGACTTCAGCCAGTTCAGGGGCACTGAGGGGGAGCTGAGCAGACACCATGAGCTGGGAGAGTGGCAGGTGATGGGGTCTGTAGAGAGCAGGGGCCAGAGCACCTGCCCCTGAGCCTGAGCTGAAGCTGAGAACCGGCCGCTCAGAGCAGGAGGAAGCCCTGCTTCCCTAACGGAATGAATCCACTCAGGGCCAAGCCAGAGTTCTACCTCTGTTCCCAAATCTCTGCTGCTGGATGAAGGAAAGGACCTCAGGGGGCCCATCTTCAAGTCAAAGGCTCCCTGGTGACTGAGTTCTAGGGCCATTTAGTTAAAATTATTAGCGCAGAGCGCTGCTTCCTGCATGATCTCTCATTCTAATTGCGGCCCTGGTGAGAGGGCTTGCAAAGGACCGGTTCCTGCCCAGGATTCCGGGATTCCGCTGAGCTCTGACCGCTTTCAGCACTGCGGAGTGGCAAAGCTTTACCTCCGCATCTCGTAGCCACCCTTCGGCGGTGCTCACTGAAGGCCCGGCTGTCTACGCGTGCACATCAGGGTGAGGGAGTCATGGCACGGTTTTATGATGGATTAACTGAGCTTCTAAGATGTTAACTTACCCATGGTAACACACTAGGAATCGTGACACCTGAAAGTCAAAGCTAAGCCACCTCCGTGTGAAACTTCCCACCATCCTGGTTGCCTTTCCCCTCCTGAAGGAGTTTTTCTTACTAGCCAGTCCCCTGAAGTTGGTCATTCCTGCCCATCAGAAGCACCACATCCTGTCACCCAGGGCTGGGGGGGCGGGGTGGCGATATAAAGTTTAGGACTGCGTGAAGGAGCGCTGTGGAGACCTGGAACCTTACTGTCTGGTGCCCTCCAGTAACCCCTGCTGGCGCCCTTCCACCTCCACATCTTCCAGGAGAGACTGCTGATGCGTTTCCTGAACTGTCTTTCCACTCGCCACCCCGCGCCCCTATTTTCACACAAAAGGTACCAAGAAGGAACAGCACTACGGTTCAGGAGCCCTGCCCCGGCCCCCACGCCTCATCTTACCCCCAAGAAAAGCCCACCTATTCCTAAACATGTCCCCCAGATGCACAGAGCACGCCCCACTGTCAGAGCGCCCACTACCCACTGTGCACCGCCGAGACTCGGCGCGCGGGCGGGTGTTCTCGCGCACATGCGCACCAGCCCTCGTGCCCGCCCCCTGGCGACGCGGGGCGTCCCTAACGACCGGAGCCGGCCGCGCGGGGGGCCTGCAGGGAAGCGAGCACCCGGGCACCGAGAGTGGGTGAGGTGAGCCCCAGAAGAGAGGACGCTCAACCCCGGGTCTCCCTTATGGGGCTGAACTCTCAAGCCAACCCCCACTCCCACCCAGCTGAGGTTGGCTTGACTCCGGGCGGGTCTGTACCCACAGGAAGCTCCCCACCCATTTGAAGCCTGACGCTTGCCTTCTCCGCTACAGTCACGGTCTGCGAGTAAGGGGGTGCGGGGGTGGGGGTGGGGCACCGCGAGAAGGAGGAAGGGGAAAGTGGGGCATCGGGCAGGCGGTGGAGGAGAGCAGTCCTGAGCTCCAGGCCGCAGTCGTCTCAGAAAGGTTGACCCCCATCCCAGCTCCTGCTGATTGCAGTCCCTCCTGCAGGTCCAGAAACTTCGGCACCTCCCTCCCTCCCTCCCACAGCATGGTTGGTTTCCCTTGGTTACCAAGGAGCTACCAGGGCCTCTGCACCCCATGCAGGTTGGGGGAGGGACTCGCTGGCCTTTGGAGCTAAGCTTCCCTGCTGGGGTGTCTGAGCCCCAGGCAGGAGTGAGGGGTGGGGAGCGAATACTCTGGACTCCTTTTTAAGACCACAGACCAAGTGGTCAGGAGTTGGGAGGAGGGCCAGGCCCGGGGATATGAACAGTGTGCTGTCTCACTGGGGCCAACATCAAGCATGCTGGGCTGGGCTCTGTCAGAGAGACTGTTGTCCCTCTTTCGTGGTTTCACAGACTGGGAATTCCCAAGTAGGAAGTTGGGAGTGATCAAACAGGGGGACAAAAGACATCAGGGGGAGTAAGACAAAGGGCCCATTCAGGGCCTGAGGATAGGTGCCAGGGGAGGGTTCTCCCTGGGGATCCTAAGGTGAAGGAGAAGCTAGCCAAGAAGGTAGAAGCAAGGTGGGGGAGGCGGCTGGAGGGGGCGGGGTGTAGCCCATCAGGCCAAGCCAGCCCAGAGGGTTGTGTCCCTGGGCATAGAGGTGCTTGGCGCCTCAGTCAAGAGGAAAGTAGTGAGAACAAGGACCGGGGATGTGATAAGCAGGAAGGGGTGAGAGCTCCCCCCCAACCTCTTCAACTTTCCCATTTGGGCAACGGGAAGAAGCCTCTGCCCACGGTGATTATATTTAACTGGGGACTTGAGAAGAATGGAGAAGGTCTGGGACCTCTGAGGAGGAAACATGCCGGAGGCTCAGACTCTGAATCCTACCTAGGTCTGTGACAAGGGCCCTGCACGAGCCATGGGGCAGGAGAGCAGAGCTCCGCAGGATCTTCTGGGGTCCCCAGAAGGCCTCGTGCTGAAGGCCACAGGCGATGGCCCAGGTCTGTGGAAGGGCCCCGTGTCTGGCAGTGATTTAGGAGGTGAGGGAGCCTGGGCTGTTTAGGCCAGCATCCAAAGGGTGACCCCAGGCTTCACACTGGTGACATGACAAGAGATCATGAGCTGGAGAAAGCGGGAGGCCCGCTGGAAAAGCGCTGTGAACAACCGAGTCTGGGCAACTTAGGAAGGAACCTAAGTCCTTAGGAAGGACCATTGTTGGTCTGTGCTTTTGTGCCTGGAAGTGACAGACAGCTTTGGATGGAGAGCAGCTCAAACCTTAGCGTCTCCACTTACTAGCTGCGTGACGCTTTGCAGGTTACTTACACTTTCCAAGCCTGTGTCCTCATTTGTGCAAGGAGATAATAGTGTCGTAATAACAATAATAATCCTCAATAGTAAATTTGAAGATTTGCTTTTTATTTTCATTTATTTTGAGAGAGAGAGAGCATGAGCAAGGGAGGGGCAGAGAGAGAGGGAGAGAGAGATAATCGGGGCTGCACTGTCAGCACAGAGCCCGACGTGGGGCTCTGTCTCACGAACCGTGAGATCATGACCTGAGCCTAAACCAAAAGTCGAACATTTAACCAACTGAACCACCCAGGTGCCCCTAAATTTAAAGACCTAATAAACATATGTAGGCAAGGCATGTAACATCTTCATCACAATATCTAACACATATTTTGAATGCTGGCTCTGGGCCCAGCATGACATGAAATGTCTCACCCACATCAGCTCCTTTAATCTTCTGGATAATCCTGGGAAGTGGATCCCATTAATTACCATCCCCATTTTACAGATAAAGAAATAGGGGGCTTAGTGGGGTGAAATGACTTGCCCAAGGTCTCACAGATGCTGGGGGGCAGAGTGGAGATTGGCCCTAAGGTAACGTAACGCCCGAGTCCTTAGCCAGCTGCTTCCTGCTGGGAGAGCTTTGAGAGGCCCAAACTCAATAAATCATAGCTGTGTGTAGGCAAGGATATAGTTCCCAGAACATTGACCACCAGGCGCAAGCCATCAAAAATGAGGATAAGCTGGCCAAGCTGGAGCATGTTGTCCCTTTATGTTGCTTGTGCTTGGGCGCATAGAGGGTGGACCCTAACACCTAACCCTCTGATTCTGGCCTGAGTGGGATTTCAGGACCCTGGACCCTGATAGTAAGGACACAGGGTGGGGACGTGGTTGGAAGAGGATTGGCCTTTCTGCAGGGACTGTGGTTCTGTGTTGGGTTAGGGTGATGCTGGCAAAACAGCCCAACAGGCCTGTAAGACAGGTGCCAGGAGATGAAAGGTCACTGGACATGTTCCCACTATCCCCAGTCGAGCATAAGGTGTGCCTTAGATAGGGACACCAGGTGGTGGCACAAGAGGTGATCACCCCCTCGCCCCAACCTTCTCTCTGGAATGTCAGAAAAGATTCTTGCCCCGGAGAAGGATCAGACTCTTAAACCTGCTTCCAGTCTTCAAACTCTGGGATTCTCTGTTTGCCCCGAAGGTTCCCGAGGGGGACAAAGCTCCAGAAAGGAAAGTGACTGCCACTTCTGGGGCTGCCCTTCTTGGGCTCTTGGGAGCTGTCAGGATACCCCTGGGCCCCTAGCTAATGGGTGTCTATCCACCCCCCGGGCTTCCAGGAAAGATACCCGCTGCAGACTGGTGATGCCTAGGCCAGACTAAGGTCACCCAGTGAGGTAGGTAGACTTGCCTCAGGTCCCCTGACTTACTCTCCTGTGGGCCCCTCCCCACCTTCCCCCCACTCAGTGGTGTGCCCTCCTTGCCCACCTTCCTAACTTGGCATTTTGGATCTGAAACTCGTTCACACTGAGATGTGGGGGATTGATAAGTAGGTCAAGTTGCTGATGCCTGGAGAGATGAGAGGTGAGGCTGGAGGCCAGGGGTGGTCAGGATAGGAAGAGGCCCCAGGAGTTAGATGCCGAGCCCTGTGTATAATAAACCCGGGGCCTCTGGCCCTGATTCTCAGACACCCCATCGAACCATTTCATCTCCTGATTTAGGATTTCTTTCCATTTCATTCACCAAATTGTGAGCCGACCCAAATGGTTGGGACCCTTTGGTCACAAAGGGGCAGAAACCGAACTCAGCTTTAGCAAAAGGGACCTGTTAGAAAGGCTGCCAAAGAGGTCTCGGAACCAGAGGAAGTGCAGTTCTGGGGGCCTCGGGGTCTCAGACTGGGGACTGAAGGTACCGGGTGCTCTGTCCACCTCTCATTCCTGCTGGTCTCTCCCAGGCTTCATCCCCTCCTGCAGCAGGCAGGTTTCCACGCGAAGGCGAATAGCCTCCAGCAGCGGGGGATCAGTAGCCTTCAAGGACATGCGTCCTTGGTCTACCTCCGCTGCTCCAACAAATCCCAAGAAGGACTCTGATTGGCTTGCATCAGGTGGCCACCCCTGAGCCAATCACCCTGGCCAATATGGGGCACTCCTATTGGCCAGGATCTGTTCTCAGAAGGGGGTGGGGCAGCTCAGAACACCAGCTACCTCCTGTAGAGCAGACCCACCACGGGCCAGGGATTAGGGAGAAAAAGGAGTCCAGAACAGTCCCTGCACCTCAAGGAGCTCACAGTCTAGCGTGGGTGTGGGGAGAGGGTGATCAATCAGGCCACTGAAGTGACACCAGCACAAGGTCTGTTAGAGGGAGAGGGTACTTGGGGGGTGGGGACCAGAAAGGATGGAAGGCTTCAGAAAGGAAGTGGTAGGGAAACTCAGGCTCGAAAGATCAAGGACACTCCGTTCCCCAGGCTGAGACAGTGGGAAAGGCGTTCCAGGCAGAGAGAGAACCGCTGGAGCAAAGGCTGGGCAGCGTGAACTAGCCTGCAGAGCTCCAGATGCAAAGCGAGCTTATTTCCAACAACATATCTGGTCACGGAGGGCCTTCTCCACTGAGCTGAGGAAGCCGGGCTGTGGCCAGTGGGCAGTGGCCAGCGAGTGGCGGTGGCAGCTGTGGGAAGGCTAGTGGTGAGGACCGCGCTGGCTGCCATCCCCAGGTGCTGGGCAGTTACCACCGGGATCCAGGCTGGCAGGGAGGCCCCGAGCTAAAGCAACAGCATTCAGGGAGGGGAGGGCCGCAGGGGTGGGAGGTAGAACTGGAGGGCGCCAACAGTAACCAGACATGGAGGGGCGGTGCCCCTGGCCAGGCAGGGAGCCAGGGGAAGGAGAGGCTTGGGGGAGGCTCTGAGTTCTCTGGGTGCAGACTCAGTTGGAGGGAGGTGAGAGGCAGCTGGTAGGCCTGAGTCTGGAACTCAGAGGAAAGGTAAGAGTTGCAACCATCTATAGGAGCCATGCAGGGTCGCAGGGAGGTGGGTAAGAGTGAGGGGAGTCTGCAATGGAGACCTCGAGAATGATCGGAGAGGCGGGAGGGGAGCCGAGAGAGTGGCGGCCTCACAGTGGGGGAGAAGGGCAGGCAGGGGTCAGGTGTACCGCCTGCCAGGGAGGATCCCTGCTTTCTATCATCTTTTTTTTTTTTTT